ATCTATATATCTTAAGCTGATTTCAGTTTCTTTCTGGTACACCACTGTACTTTAAGTAGACCTTTATCACCGATGTGGTGTTTTCTTTGGTTGGATGAGGACTGAAGAAAGAAGGACATTCAAATATGTATGGCTCATGCTTTGAGCCAGACAGTGGTTTGCCCTTGCTGTTGAACCTCCACAAAACTTTGAACAGATTCTATTTTCATTTTCCAGTGGGGAAATTTGGGCTGAGAAAGCAGTACTAATTTATTAATTACCACCCAGGTTCCAAGTGTTAGAGCCTGGATCCTAATTCAATGTGTCAAATGTTAAGAGTGCTTTCTCTTTTCACTGATACAGGGTTGGTTTCTCTAGGTTTTGTTTTGTTTTTTAATTTTTATTGTATTATTTTTGAGTGTACCATCAAATCAGATCTGACTGGTACAGGAGATTGCCCCCTCCTTCTCCAGCAGAGTACCTGGTGGATTTGAACCATGTACCTCTGGGATTGCAGTGCAGTGTCTTGCCACTAGGCCACCAGAACTCCCTTAGGTTTGGTTTTCAAGTTGGTTTTCTTACTCATGTTTTGGATCCTAGTCAAAGTATCATGTCTATTAGACACAGTGAATCATATGAAAACAAAGAATACAGACAGCTTGGAATATTCTCTAATAACATTTTTATGCATAAGGAAAAGAAATAAAACCAAACCAAGAGAGGATATGGAATTAACTGAGGTTATAGAATAGTCAAGTTCTTCATATTTTATACAAATTGGGTACAAATGTGATACTTCCTTCTCCCTATCTTGTGTTTTTTTCTAGTTAAGAGTTATTATAAACAGATTTACTATATGAAGAAAAAATAAAAAGTAAGATTGCAAGATATTGTGTGGACATCACAGAGAATACTCAAGGGGTAAAAAAAGAGAGAGAATTAGGAAGATTTACTCCTAAACAGTTGTCTATCTCCTGGGCAGGGAGTGATGGCTATGTTTTTTGACTCTGTATGTGAGTGTATTCATGTGTGGCTAATTTTCCTTAGGATTATTCAAGCCACTGCTTCTGTGTTATTGAGAAAAGCACAAAAGTGGAAATTGTATGTGCATATCTGTAATGCTGGTAACCCTTTTGTGGCTGTGCATATGAGGAGATTTAGCTATAAGATAATGTCTTTGGAGACATTTAGATGAGCTAGTGTGTAAGACAGATGGAAGTTTAGGCCCTCTGTTCTGAAGACCTCAAAACTCACTGTTGTTGAGTTGAAACTGATTGACACCAGACTCTCCAGGAGATTTTCCGAGACTCTAACAGTCTAAGAGGAGACTGCCCATCTTTTTTCCACAGAGTTCCTGGTGGATTTGAGCCAGCCCAGGCCTTTGGCTTAGCAAAGTGTTGGTATGAACAAAAGGGTTTTGGATTAGTTGCCCTACTCCCATGGAATATATCGTTAGAGATCCTGTCACTGGTAATACAAAACCCAAAAATATCAGATGATTCTAGAACCCAGAGTTTAAAAAGAAAGGACAGAGAACTACTTCAAATGCTAACTGAAGGAGAAATCTGAATGAAAAAAAATTTAAGGAGACAGACGGAGCACTGTACTGTAACCAGTACACAGTGGTCATTCTGAACAGTGGCTTTAGACTGCTTGGTATGGAAACTAGAGATTATGGTGATACCCACACCCATGTATAACTGATGACAGGAAAGATTGAAATAATATCCAATCATATAAAGCCCTCCTGCAGTTTCACTCATTGGACAAGACTAAAGACCAGTCTCACAACATCTGATTGACATAAGGAGGACACTATATAATGACTAAAAACAAAATAGATAGAAGACATATTCTTAGTTAACATCTATGTACCTAATGATAGACCTGCGGAGTATACAAAAATGTGGGCTTGGTGGTTGGGAAATAGAATGGTCAAATTTTGTATTTTCAATGATTTTTTAATTTCGAATACCTTTTTTAAAAGACAGAAATCATGACATTATACATGGACCTCACCTGATGGACTGCATAAGAATCAGATTGCCTACATCTATGGAAGGAGTCATTAGAAAAGCTCAATATCAGTGGTCAAAACTAGGCCCGGCATTGACTGTCAGTCAGATCATTAATTACTCATGTGCAAGATCAAATAGAGGGTGAAGAAAATGAAAAAAAGTTCATGAGAACCTAGATGTGACCTTGAATCTATTCCCTCTGAATTTCAAGATCATTTTAAGACTTGATTTGCAGCATTGTGTTAACACCAATGACATTCAGATGGAATAGATACAAAATCATATCTTCATTCATATCTTTATTTCCCTAGGTATATGTCTCAAATAAATAAGAGCCATATCTTGCTGTTGTTATCTTGTTATGCACTATCGAGTGGGGCTCATAGCAACCATGCGAACAACAAATCTGAACACTGTTCTATGCTGTGCCTGCCTCACATTTTCTAACAGTAGTTCAACTCCTCACTGACTACACTTCTAGGGTTCCCTAACTGTGATCTCCGATCTGTAATATAATAACCTTAGGAAAGATTTACTCATAGAGAGAACAATATCAAAGAGTTAGAAATGATGAGGAGCGAGGGAGAGCGGAGTGAAAATTAATAGAGAAGGTGAGTACAGGGAAATGACATATACAGTTAGAGTTTGATTAGACATTGTACTATTTAATTTAAATTTATATTATAAAGCAAAGTGTCTATAAATGATGGAATGAAAGCCCTTATGATTTGTAAACTTTCACTCTAAAATATAAAAACATGTTCATTGGCTTTCCATAACAATCCTCTGCATATTTTTAAGCAATCTTATTTACCTGATTTAGGATATGTGGCAATGAAGAGATCATCAGGTCTGGCTTGGAAGTTCCAGATTTTATCCCAACCTTTACAAATGTCTTTTGGTAACAAAATGCCTTCTTTGTAATCCATTTCAGGTTCCTGTATTTGGATTTTCTTCTCTGAAGCCATTACAAATGGTATTCTAGAATAAAAGAAACAAAATAAAGTCAATGGGAGAACATAAAATAGTCTATTTCACTCACTTTAGGTTAGCTCATTAGACATTTTCAGAAATGCAGTTGATTGTACAAATTTGCTTCATTTGAAGAAGATTTTAGCTATCTGTAGCCAGTAAGCGGAAAAACACCTATCTGATGTGAGTGTCCTGAGTTATGATTTAACTTAATGCTGTGAATGAACTTTCATCCTAGTGATTTTACACACATACATATGATTAAGCAAAACACCAGATGTTAAAATGTGATCTTTGGTACTCTTTGAAACTGTTCACTAGAGAAAGTATATAGTGATACTTTTTTAACTAAAGTTGTTAACTGGATACAAACTGAAAGCGCAGACAGGAGGAGTCAACTCTGAAAAAGAGGAATGCCAGGTAGAGGTCCCCACAGCTTAGCACTGTGAAAGGCCCCTTCCTTCACTTTCCTATGGTTTTATTTAGTTTAATCCAACAATGAAAAAATTCCTGTATTGTGAGGCTATATTTTCTTTTTATGTAACTTTGCCAACATAACAATGGGTAACCTTAATACTTAAAACAAGAGCAGGGTGATTACAAAGTTCAGAAACAGTATCCCCTCTGGTGGGAGGCTGGGCATAATTTTCTGTTCCCAGAGGGTGCCCAATCCAACCTGGACTCCAATCTCTGCTGAGGCCTGGCTATCAATATGCTGAGCTATTCACAAGTATCCGTCATACTCTCAAGAATTGTATTCTGATTTTCTCCAAAACGTGATTGAAATCAATTTATGAGACAAGTGATGTTGGATAGTCCTTCCACTTTATTATTTTTTTTTTAATTTGAAACAATTCACTTTAATAATGACTAGAAGATTACATTGTATTATTTTTTTAATTGAAAAAATCCATGTAAGTATTCTTTTTTGTGGTGCTAGGAAGTACATCTATGTATAAACGATCTGTATTAACTCTACTCTTCCTTTCTTTTGTAGTCAGTTACACATCTGAAAGGAAATACTACATTTTACATATTATTTCTAGGTGTTTTATAGGACAGCTTCTGGCTATCTAGTCTGTCATAACCTTTTGATGTAAGGTGGTTATCTAGTTTTGCTGTAACAGTGATACCATAAGCAGATGGCTTTAAGAAACAAAAATGGGTTGCCTTACACTTGAAGAAACTAGAAGTTCAAAGTCTGAGAATGCCCACTTTCTCTGTCATTTTGTGGGAAGGGACTAACACCTGCTAGCCAGGTAGGTGTTCCTTGGAGATTCTGGTTTGTACTTGCTTCTCGGTATTCAAGAGATTCCTAGTGCACCATCCAAGTTCAAAAGTATGGTTTTCACTTTTCATGGTTCTTTTTTTTGATGGTGTTGAGGTTCCTTCTCTTTAGATCTTTTTTCTGCCACTTTTATGTCTCATGAGATAAAAGACATTTCAGGCCACATCCTTAGGAAACTTGTGTTTTGTAGAATCAGGGATATAATGGTATTATGAAGTGTTGTATTCTAATTTTAATCCTATTACAACCATTTTATTTTTTTACCATGATAAATAATTATATATCTGTACCTTTACATATGTGTACTATGCAAGAACACAGTTCAATCCATGAGAGAATTCCTCTTTACTTTTTATGCTCATACAAAAAAACCCCCTCAGGATACTTGCTAGAAATCTCAACTATTCAGAAATATGCTTTTTAAATCATTTTACATTACTTACCTCTAAAAAATGCAGTGCATTAATTTCTGCTTATTTATTTAATTTTACTGACCCTATCATCTCAGTTTGTATTCTAGGATGTCCAGCCACTTATTCACTCAGCAACAAACATTGACTTACATTGAGAATAATGGGAATAACAGAATACTTAATTGTGCTTATACAGAATCTTTTCCTATCTGAAGAAACAAGGGAACACTGTATTGTTTAAAATGTGGAAAGGTATGCAGTTAGAGTTATATAATTTCTCCATTAAATTTGTATGCTGTGCAAATAATGAATGAAGGGGGACTCTGTGAAGTGGAATGTGGTATCAACATCGGACAAAGACTTATCAACAACTTACATTATGTAGTTGGCACAGTCTTGATTACTAAAAGCAAGGAGGACCTGAAGCATTTACTGCAGAAAATCAAAGAATACAACTTTCAATATGTATTATATCTCAAAATAAAAAAAACCAAAAATTCCTTATCACTGGGCCAATAGACAGCATCATGATAGCTGGAGAAAGAATTGAAAGTTTAACGATTTCATCTTAACTGGATCCTTGGTCAACATACTTTATATCAGCCATCAGGAGATCAAGAGATGTGTTGCTTTGTGTAAGACTGCTGTCAAGAACCTCTCCAAAATACTGAAGAGCAATGAGTACGCCTGACTCAGGCTATGGTCTTTTCAGTCACTTGCACTATATCTGAGAGCTGGACAATGGATAAGCATGAAAGCAGAAAGCAGAAAAGAATGAATGCCTTTGAACTGTGGTACTGCAAAATCCCATAGACTGTCAAAAGAACCAACAGGTATGTCTTAGAGAAAGTATGGTCAGAGTGTTCTTTGGAAGCAAGGATTGAAAAGATTTGTCTCTTGTACTTTGGCATGTTATTAGGAAAGGCTGTTCTTTTGAAAGGGATATCATGTCAGGGAAGTTTGAGGGTCAGCAAAAGACAGGAAGACTCTTATCTAGAGAAATTGATATGGTAACTTCAGAAATGGCCTCAAATGTGTCTGAGACGTTGAAGACAGTACAGGATAGGACAATACGGATCTTCTGTTCATAGGATCACTATGATTTATACTAATCTTCATGGTACCTAACAACAACAAGAATAAAAGATGCATGTTGTTAGAAGATGCCAATATTTGGAGGAGGACATAACACTTGGAGAGGTGGAGAGTTTATATAAGAGAGGAAGAATCCCAACAGACAGACTGACATCGTGATTGGAACAATGGCCTCAATATATTGAGGATGACACAGAGGGTACAAGGTCCAGATCTGTTGTTTATAAGGTTGCTTTGAGTTGTACTCAAGTTTATAGCACATATATATGATAACAAGGTACCAGGTGTGAGTTTTGGTGGTGTAGTGCCTGACAGATTGGACTACTAACAGAACGGTCAGTAGTTTAAGTCAGCCTGGAGCATAATGGGAGAAACTTGGGCAATCTACTTTCATAAAAATTATGGCCTTAGAAACACAATGGAGAATTGCTTTCATCTGAAAATCACTCTAAGGCATTAAGTTAGGATTTAGGGTGCCAGAAATTCATTAGTCCCTATAAGAGAAGAGTGAAAAGAAGAAAAAAAATTTCTTCTTTGAAGAGCTCACAGTCTACTAGAGGCTGAGGTCATGATTCCATATATGTACTTAACAAAAAATGTCTTAAGTGTTTTTCTCTTTTCTGTCCTATTTAAGAAGACTTCCTATTACCTCAGCCTTTGAATACCATCCGTTTCCTCCTCCTTGTCATAGGGAGGTACTAATTACCTCCTCAATGTCTCTATTTTTCTTTGTTAGCAATTCACATCTTTATGTCTTCATGGAAGCAAAGAATGACTATCCTCATGAATGCAGAACCATACATCTTTTCTCATTGCTGACAGGTTCTCAATACTTCAGAGGTGAAAAGTAAATAAAGTGAAGATAGATTTTCCAAGTTGAAGTGTGGAGGATTTTCTATCAGTAAACTACATCTCTCCTTCTGTCATTATAGTCAGTTGCTTTTTTGTTACCTTGCAATAATTTTCGGAAGGCAATAGCTCAGTGAGTCCTTAGTATCCTTTCAGAGAGCATTACGTTGGGTTTACTTACACTCATAACTAAATCAGAAGGAAATATCTGTAAAGTACAAGTCCTGCTTGGGGAACTTCAGTATAGGTTTTACTCAGAATATCTCTTCACTTACCGTTATGGATGGAATTGTGTCTCTCAAGCTATTTGTCATATTGACTAAACCTTGATTCCCAGTATTAGGTAATTATGTGCTATAAATCCTCACTGCTCTAATGTTAATGAGATAGGTAGGCCGTTAGATCATCAAGCCTCATGATGTGATGTGATCTGATCAGTAAATTTGTTGTAAGAGGATAAGGCCTGGATTTAATACTTAATCAGATCAATGGTCTGATTAGATGAAAGGGATATTTTCCTGAAGTGTGGCCAGTGTCACCTTTTGTCTTAGAAGAAATAAAAGGAGAAAGAAACTAATAGTGTGGTGAGTACTTGGAAAGAGTAAGGAGTGGACCCAAGGTCCTGTGATGTGAAACTCCTACAACTGAAAGTACATAGATATAAGGCTGTCCGTATGGGCTGACAATGGAATTTGAATTTCTATTTTCCTAAATTATGAAGAAAAGAAGGTAAAATTCTATTTAAAACCATCTACTTGTGATATCTCTGTTATAGCAGTCACATGTGCCTAACTAGTATTTTGGTCATTACAAAAAATCTTTTAAGAAAATATGTATATTTAATGACATATTAAGTCATGATTTCTACTTTCTCATTAAAAATATTTATATGGCATTGTTCTATAATTATTGTGTTCACATGATTTTAGGAAAAGAGGTAATAAAGATTAACGTTTCTTAGACAACAAGACACATTCCTTGATTTTTAATGAGGACCTGAAGTGCCAGCTGCAGAGTGTCAAGGACTGCAGCCTACAATATGGATTGAGGCTTAATGTCAAGAAGACAAAGATTCTCACCACTGGACCAATTGGCAGCATCAGGATGGATGGTGAAGAGATTGAGATT